TTATTTTTTATTTATTTATTATTACAATCGTATAGATTTTTATTTTTGATTTTTATTAGAAATATAAATTCAGGAATGCAATATTTGTAAATGCTCGCAGTCTTCTTCAAGGTGCGAAGGTAACCTCTCTGTTTGTAAATAACCTGAAAGACGGTGACTGTAAGCGTAATTTTAATATTACCTCTAAGCAATAATGGCCATGTCCGATTTACTATTGTACCCTTGAAACTTTTATCTAATTAATAATGTGGAAGATATTGTCGTTTTTCGTGGTTTAAAAGTGTTCAATGAATAATGATACTTTATCTTTGTTTTCCTGCAGCAGAAATGCGCAAGTTACTTTTGAAGAGAAATCACAATTTTAAATTAATCTATTTTTAAAATTATAAACATTGTGATCTGATTCATATTTGATCCGACAAAGCTTTCAAGGGTACCGTTGTGAATCGGAGATTGCTATGGAGAGTCAACTTAAAATTACGCTCACAGTCCCTTTAAATGACGCATCGTGTCATCTGTTTATCTTTTATTGTTGTTTTATTGTCTGAAACATTTTTCTTTCATACATTACCATTTCAGATTTTGCAGCTGTGTCTCTTTTTCGAACAGAATTTATAGTTTGTCTAAGGTCTATGACATTGGCTGGCAAAGATATTGGGATTAGAAAATCAGAGTTTTAGGCAAAAACTCAATTTTTTTGTTTTTGCATTCGAGATAGCCTTTTCCAAGATTTCAGAATATTTTGGACAAAATATATAAATTTATTGGTGGATTTTCAAATATTTTAAAGGACCTATTAAATAGGCAACATTTTTAATTCTTCTTATCAGACAATGCAAATTTACAAATTGTATTATTTTTAACTTTTAGGTATCAGAAAGTAGATCTGAAAAGTATGATAAAAAGGATGAGCTTTTGAAATATACAGGCAAAAAAATCTATTAATTTTGAAATATACAGGCAAAAAATCTATTAATTTTGAAATATACAGGCAAAAAATCTATTAATTTTGAAATATACAGGCAAAAAAATCTATTAATTTTGAAATATACAGGCAAAAAATCTATTAATTTTGAAATATACAGCCAAAAAATCTTTTAATTTCTTTTGTTCGCTTCTGCTTGGGTTAAGTCAGCAGAGCCATAAAAACATCCCAAACATTTTTTTTATCTAATTTAATCCATGGTTTAGGATTTATTTTTATTTATTAATATTCTACCCCTTGGGCCTTTTCCCTTAAAAATGATGCGTTGTCCCTGAATTCTTAGTTTTGATCTCCTCCCATTGCAGTACACAGATTTGACGCATGAGATATGGCGGTTCCTGCTTTATGTATTTCTTGCGCTAGACACTCATTACAATACAACAAATACACAAGAGGGAAAAATAAAGTATAAACAAGACATATGAAATAGACAAGACAAGTGCAGAAATAGACAAGACAAGACAAGTGCAGTATAGACAAGACAAGTGCAGAAATATTCAATATTGTTATTTTGTCCAAATAAAATTACTCTACTTTTTCAACACGGGCAGCCGTAGTACATTTGAATTTCCGAGCCGGGTCAACCTTTCTGGTTCCAGTTTGTATTGTACCTAGCTTTATGGACAGGACTAGCCGGTGCAACAAGGTTGACGCGGTCAGACTTTATGCTTCATATAGGTTGAATTTACTTTTACTAAAGGGGCAGAGGTGCATCTCAATGTTTTTAATAATTAAATTTATTCTACAGGACTAAATGAGATACAAACTTGTGAAGCAGTGCATAGTAAAGACTCTTTTTCTATAGCGTTCAGGTATTTGTCTTAATTTTTTCAAGTTTTTTGTTGTCATTTATAATTCTTGATGAAAACTGTGTATTTCTGCAGGGACATTTTATGATTCCTTTCAAATTATCCTGAACATGCAATACGCACGAGATTAATTTTGAATAGAATTAATTAAAAGATATACACTATACTCCTAAAGGAGGCCAGTCCGCCCTCTCAAAGTATCATTCAACTTTTTATGAAGTTTCTAATATTTTTTTGGTGATTTAAAATTGTTTATAATTTTTACGAGTTTGAAATTTTGTGAAAAAAAAACATTAACTTAAGGAAAGCCAATATTCAACAGGATCAAATTGTTCATTTTCTTCGTTAATTTTTTCTCGAGGAACTCTAGAATGGCCATTTTAGGCAATACTTCAAAGAGAACGAGAATCTTTTTATATTTTTCCAAGCCTGAAGAGTTAATGTTATTAAACCCTCAATGTTTCAATCTACCGGACTTTCCTATACTCTCTAGTAAAGAATTTACGAGGTTTGATAGACTAAGCCGTAAATTCACACAGAAGCAATTCTGCGTCTATACATTTTTCGAAATGTGTAATCTTATTATAATAATAATTAATTAATTAATAATTAATTAAAAAGATATAACACAAATTGATGGACACTAACAATGTGATATTTCATATACAGGGTTACTCACAAAGGATGAGACTTCAGAAGAAACGACTGTTCGAAATTTATGCGTTCTGTTTCCTTCAATTCATGACTCCCTGCATCATAAACTAATGTATTTCTTAGTCAAATCATTAAATATGTCATTGAAAGTCTATATTCAATATTTATATAAACGTGGGATAGTCATCATTTAAGATTTTCAGGTCGTCTTTATAGTATCATCCTTTGTGGGTAAGCCTGTACAATTACATTGTACAATATACATATCAAATCAAATAGAGGAGATGGATATTGGATATTTAGAACTGCAGTTGGTGGATACAAAATAACTTACAGTGGGGATACAAGACCTAACAACCAACTAGTGGATATTGGAAGGTTGGTTTATCTATATTCAGGGTTTATACAATTCAGAATTAACCCCCTTACCCCCACTAGGGGAGTGCATGGGGGGCAATGATTTTTGATGATGGGGGGGGGGCCAATGAAAAATTGGTCATCAAAGGCAATGATTTTTCGAGAAAACTTATACTCATGTCAAAATTAGAAACACTTTTTTCTGCGCTAGGAACTTTTAATTATTTGATTAACTCTTTCTTATGTGTTGCTTCTCCCATTTTCTATTCTCTTTTGTCAATAAAGTGACCCTTCATCATCCTCGAAGCATCGAAGCATGTACAACAATACCCCTAAAACCTTACTGATATCAAGATTAAATAAGATATTCTTGATTTTCTACCTGAAAATTTGTTTATTTTCAATTGTGGTTTATCAGTAAAAGTGACTTGCTGATTTATGCATCAGAGACAACGAAGGATTTTTCTAGCTAGGAAACCGGTCATATCTTCATTATTCTCATATAAAGGTTTAAAGTGTGAATCATTACACTCTCTAAATGGAGGTTCACTTAAAATCACGTATACTTTCCCTTTTAATATTTCATTTTTTTAATTTTTCTAGAAATTCAGATTTACTCATTCATGAAGCAACCTACTCTAATTCTGGCAGAGACGAAGCAAAGCTCAGGGTAATCATATTTTTAGAAAGAAAAATAAGGAAACCTCCGTCATCCTTGATCCAGCAATTGTTTAAAAGGTGCATTTGTGAATCAGGTATTCCACTCTACAAATAGATAATCAAGTACAATAGGTGGCAACAGAGAAATGGACCAATTATACATGACGTCACAAGTGTCAAATATAACAAGGAAAACGAAATTGTCTCACATTAGTTGACATGTTTTCTAAGATTAAATATTAAAGCAGTTTAAAAACAGAAAATAAAGAACACATAAAATTGCACTTATTTCCCGAAGTCAAAGATTATCACAATTATTAAAAATTTTGTCACACACAAAAACTGAGTTGACACTTGTGACGTAAGAATACATCTGTACTGAGAGTGTAACTTTGCCATCTATTGTACTTGATAATCTATTTGACACTACAATCCATTTTATTTAAGTAGATTCAAATTCTGACACTTGGATCACAAATCCAATTTTTTTAAATAGACTAATTGAATTTGTACTCTGTTTATTGTTTACTAAGCTAGCAACTTTACATTGCTAATCTACAATATCTAAACCTAGACTCCACTGCCATAACTTCTTATTTGAAGCCATTGAATGTTAACTGTTTATTACTATGAAAAGAGCTGCCTCGTATTTGATGATATATTTGTATACGCTGGTATGAACCGATAAAGCCCAGATTAGATGTGGCAACTCACATGACCGGCCAGGAAAGGACTAAGGGCCGTCAAAATGAGCAAATGTTGCCTGAAAAACATGTCAATTTTTTTTTCATAAACTTTTTAGCAGAAAAACCCGCGAAAACTTGATAACAAAACAATTAAATTAAACAATTAAACGTTAATATTATGTTGTAGATAATAATTTTAGGCACAAAACACCCTAGAAGTCTTTTTATGTCATTACTCTATTTAAGATGCACAGTATTACTGCTGAGGCTGTCCAAGTAGGACGGATGATGAACGCCAAGTTTACTGTACTCACACATTTTCAAAGGGTAAATAGTTTTTTATCAGATCCAAATAAATGAATGATTTTCTAAATTTTTCATATTAATATTTAGATGTTTAATCGTATCCCGCTGATGGAGGATTTTCAAGGTAAAATAAAAAAATACATATTAAGTTCATGGGTAAAAATAAAGAAAACGAATAATCCTAGAAACTATGCAAATTCAGAATATACCTGTTAGTGAGAATTCATAAAAGAGGGATTTAAGTTATTTAACTCTTGCCTATTTAGTTTCTATATATATTTATGTAGACTGTTATAGAATAGGCTTTCACGGCGCTTTGTGCCCCTTTCATAGTAACAATTTTATTTATTTATATTAGTTAGTTATATTAGCCTGTTTCAGATGAGGCTAATGTTGGAATAGCTTTTGATGGTATGGTTGTAAATCTTAAATCTATGTACAGTATTCCAGACATGTACCCGGATCTTAATAGGTAAAGGCAGGGGTGTATTCAGGGGGGAGCTACGTGGGCTCAGCCTCCCCAAGATCCGGGAAATTTATGATTTCCAGGGGATTTTTGGCCCCAACGGAGGCTGATTCCCCCCCCTTAGACAGAAAAAAATTCAGGTGGTTATGAGGATTAGCCCCCATAGGATCCCCCTCCCTGTATACGTAATTTCATTTTATTAAATTTTGTTTATTGTAATTCATATTTGTGTTTTATATCAGGATTTTTGAAGACGACATCAAGGACATCAAAGCTATCCTGTTGAAAGCCAAAGCCTCCCCCAGGATCCGGGAAATTTATGATTTTCAGGGGATTTTGGGCCCCAGTGGGTGCTGATTACCCCCCTAGACAGAAAAAAAATCCAGGTGGTTATGAGGATTAGCCCAAATGGGACCACCTCCCCCTCCCTGTATATTTGTGTTTTATATCAGGATTTTTGAAGACGACATCAAGGACATCAAAGCTATACTCCTGAAAGCCAAACCCCGTAAAGGTAAGATTTTTAATAACTTAACTTTTATCTTTATTATTGTCTTTATCTTAATAAAGAGCTTGAAAAGACTAATATTTGAGGAAAAAGTAAAAAGAAATTAAACATTATTTTTAGTTTAAAGATTCAAAGAAGGTGAAACCGATATTTATTTAGTTAATTTTGGTTCCTACAAAACTCATTTTTATATTTTTAAGATTGTTGCACTGAATGATGATGACCGACTGTAATTCATATTGATTCTAAGAGGGAAGACGACCCATCAAGAGCACAGTGAAAACAAGTGTGTTCAAGAGAAAGCGGAAGAATATTGTGAAATAATCATTTTAAAAGTCTTAAAACAAAATCCTGTTATTGTCGAATATGTAACGTGTAGTTTTACTTGTTACTTGTCAAAGGACTGTGATTTAAATTGAAAGCTGTGAAATTAAATATTTTCATTTTCAGAAGAAAGAAAAAATGGGCGGACCTGAAGCTGACAAGGATGTCCACATCTCCCTGGAGGATCAGCAGAAGATTAATAAATTTGCGCGGCAAAACCAGCGCATGGAAGAACTCAAAGACGACCTCAAGGTAAAATCATGAATTATGGCGCGAAACATGATTGCTTTAAACATTGACCTACACTGTTAGTAAATCAAAGAAACATTTTGGGGTGGGGTGGCATATAAACATAACAATAGCATCTCGTTATTACGAACATTTTTGTTGAAAATAAAACTGATCTAGGGGATATAAAACATTGTTAGATATCCTCGGGAACTCCTTAGCGAATTGAATTGAATTGAATCCATTACACTTTGTTCATGATATTGAACAAAACTGTTCGCAGTTTTGAAATGATTTTGGTAGTTTTATATTACGATCAAAATGTTTGGGCTTTCTTCTAACATGGGAAAATAATTTAATTCTAGTTTTCTTGAAATCTAGTCACTAGTATCCACGTTTTTTGTAATAAATGTTTAAGCAAGTACATTTGCATCATGATTATTTTACATTGCGGTAATACTTTGCAATTTGCATGTTTTTAATTCAATTTGGGTTAAAAAGGATGTTGCATGATTTTGAGAAATTACAATTTATATTAGCTAAACTAACCTACAGGTGCATTTATTTATGATTATTTTTGAAGGAGCCGGAGGCTCATTCCTGACTTCTACGGAATAGTTGTTGACTGTTTGTTTGTTTGGGTGTATGTTTGTTAGTTTGTATGTTTGTTTGTTTGGGAGTATGTTTGTTTGTTTGTTTGGGTGTATGATTGTTAGTTTGGATGTATGTTTGTTTGTTTGGGTGTATGTTTGTTAGTTTGGGTGTATGTTTGTTTGTTTGGGTGTATGTTTGTTAGTTTGGGTGTATGTTTGTTTGTTTGGGTGTATGTTTTGGTGTTTGGGTGTATGTATATTTATTTGTTTTGGTGTATGTTTGTTTGTTAGTTAATTAAGCTTTCTAAGAAAAGTGTCACCATTAAGTGATGATTATATTTCAATCAGTATTATATTTTTTTTTACGTTTAATTTTCTTCTTTTCCAATTATAAGTCCAATAACAAGGTCCTTAATCTTTTATCCCAACCCACACAAAAATATTTTTTTCTCTAGAAATATTTTTCTCAATTTGTCTAATTCTATATTATAAACCCAGTAAACATTTTAAATGATTTCCAAGAGCTCATGGTTGACTAGTTTTCAAAGATTATTATTTTAATAAATGATTTTATGCTTAGAGGATCAGTCTGAATTTCATAAATATTGGCTTAAATTATTCTATGTAAGAACTAGCTTGGGAACCCAGCGTTGTCTGGAGATCTAAAGTAGCTACCCAATCAAAAAAACTAATTGGAGATTACAAATTTAAATATACACTACAGGGTTACCCACAAAGGATGAGACTTCAGAGACGATTGTACGGAATTTTTATTGTCTGTTTCATTCTTTTCACGATTCCCAGCAACTGTTAACTTGTTTGTTTCTTTGCAAAATCAATAAATAAGCAATTAGATAACTATATTATTTAAGGAAGAATACATAAATTAACCCTGGAATAAAACATTTTAAGAATTTCCGGTCGTCTTTACATTTCAAGAGTTTCCGGTCGTCTTTACATTTCAAGCGTTTCCGGTCGTCTTTACATTTCAAGAGTTTCCGGTTGTCTTTACATTTCAAGAGTTTCCGGTCGTCTTTGTGGCTAACATAGCGGGGGATTGATAACCCAGTTTTTACCGGAAACTGAACTTCCTCTTTATAAACAGTCTGAGATACTGACTCTGTTTAATGCTACATAAACTAGAATTTTTAATTAATTAATTAATTACTGATATAATTAAGGTTAAGCAGTCTGAGATACACACTCTGTATAAATTAGAATATTTAATTAATTAATTAATTACTGATATAATTAAGGTTAAGCAGTCTGAGATACACACTCTGTATAAATTAGAATATTTAATTAATTGATTAATTACTGTTATAATTAAGGTTAAACAGTCTGAGATCCAGACTCTTATTGATGCAACTAGTGATGTAGAAGAGTTCTCTCTCACTGCTGATGATGGAGATAAGGTTAGTATTCATAAGTTTATAGAATATAGAAAATAATTCCCGAGTTTAAAAATCTGGAAAATAATTAATAAGCTTTCAGAATCTGGAAAATAATACGTAAGTTTTAAAAATCTGGAAAATAATTGATAAGCTTACAGAATCTGGAAAATAATACCAGAGTTTAAAAAATCTGGAAAATAATTAATAAGATTACAGAATCTGGAAAATAATACCTGAGTTTAAAAAATCTGGAAAATAATTAATAAGCTTACAGTATCTGGAAAATAATACTTGAGTTTTAAAAATCTGGAAAATAATTAATAAGCTTACGGAATCTAGAAAATAAAACCTGAGTTTAAAAAATCTGGAAAATAATTAATAAGATTATAGAATCTGGAAAATAATACGTGAGTTTAAAAAATCTGGAAAATAATTAATAAGCTTACAGAATCTGGAAAATAATACTTGAGTTTAAAAAATCAGTTAGGAAAATGATTCTGAAATTTAAAAAATCTGGAAGATAATTCTTTAATCTTTACGTTTAAAGAATCGGGAAAATATTTCTTAAGTTTTAAGAATCTGGAAAATAACTCTTTAAGTTTTAAAAAATCGGGAAATTAATTCTGTCTTAGGAATCTAAAAGATAATTCTCCAGTTTAATGAATCTGAAAAATGATTCTTCCGTTTAACAAATATAGAAAAGAATCTGGAAAAAATTCTCCAGTTTCAAGAATCTGGAAAATTATTCTTAAGTTGATGATGCTTGGTTTCCGGTTTCCATATCCGGTCCACAATCAGATATTGTCAGGTCCTTAAACAAGATATTTTTGTTAAATAAGTGTCATATTATTTTTCAGATTCCATTCCAAATTGGAGAGATCTTTGTTCTAGAGAACCCTGATACTGTACAGACTATGATTCAACAAAGGAAGTGAGTGACATATATTGTTTGACGCAAAGTACTAATGCAAGGAAAGTTATTTTAAAGGTGTAGGCATTTTTTGTTCTGCAGTGTACTGTCTTTGGGCGGAAAAGTAAACACAAGACGGATGTCGAAGCCTGACATGGAATCCATTTTCACAAAAATAATCTATGAAATATATATAAAAATTTCCTCATTTCTGAACGGTTCATCTAGTATTAGGATAAAAATAAGCCAAAAAAAATAAAACCAAAAATTTGAAAATTTTGTTTTGTTAAAAAATTTCAGTAAATCTTAAAGAAATGACCTGGATCCGGATCCATTTTTTTCCAGTGCGGATCCAGGATCCGGATCCGCATCAAAATTGAATGGATCCTAAGCACTGGTACAGTGTCCGATTTACAACAGTACCCTTTTAACCCTTCATATAAGCAACATTGAGCAAGATACCGTAAATTTTTTGGTTTTAAAAAGTGTTGAATTCTGTCGATTTCCTTCTTTGTTTCTTTAGCCTAAGTCCCTGTGACGCGTTGTAGAGAAACCACAATAGAAAATATTGATTCTAGGTTGAAGAAAATAAAAACAACATTGAAAACAAACCGGATTTATTGAATCAGTATCTTTACTATTGTAAAAGGGTACCTTTGTGAATCGGAGACTCCTCTCGGTAAATTGTGGTGCACTCCATACTAGGTCTACAGTCCCATTAATGCACTTCCTACTAGGTTTACAGTCACTTTAATGCACTTCCTACTAGGTCTACAGTCCCTTTAATGCACTCAATACTAGGTCTACAGTCCCTTTAATGCACTCCATACTAGGTGTACAGTCCCTTTAATGCACTTCCTACTAGGTCTACAGTCCCTTTAATGCACTCAATACTAGGTCTACAGTCCCTTTAATGCACTCCATACTAGGTCTACAGTCCCTTTAATGCACTCCATACTAGGTCTACAGTCCCTTTAATGCACTCCATACTAGGTCTACAGTCCCTTTAATGCACTTCCTACTAGATCTACAGTCCCTTTAATGCACTCAATACTAGGTCTACAGTCCCTTTAATGCACTCCATACTAGGTGTACAGTCCCTTTAATGCACTCCATACTAGGTGTACAGTCCCTTTACTTCACTCCATACTAGGTCTACAGTCCCTTTAATGCACTTCCTACTAGATCTACAGTCCCTTTAATGCACTCCATACTAGGTCTACAGTGCCTTTAATGCACTCCATACTAGGTCTACAGTCCCTTTAATGCACTCCCTACTAGGTCTACAGTCCCTTTAATGCACTATACTAGGTCTACAGTCCCCTTAATCAACTTCCTACTAGGTCTACATTCCCTTTAATGCACTCCATACTAGGTCTACAGTCCCTTTAATGCACTCCATACTAGATCCACAGTCCCTTTAATGCACTTCCTACTAGGTCTACAGTCCCTTTAATGCACTTCATACTAGATCTACAGTCCCTTTAATGCACGTCCTACTAGATCTACAGCGTTTGAATGCACTTCCTACTAGGTCTACTGTCCCTTTAATGCACTTCCTACTATGTCTACAGTCCCTGTAATGCACTCCATACTAGGTCTACAGTCCCTTTAATGCACTTCCTACTAGGTCTACAGTCCCTTTAATGCACTCCATACTAGGTCTACAGTCCCTTTAATGCACTCCATGCTAGGTCTACAGTCCCTTTAATGCACTTCCTACTAGGTCTACAGTCCCTTTAATGCACTTCCTACTAGGTCTACAGTCCCTTTAAATCACTTCCTACTAGGTCTACAGTCCCTTTAATCAATGTATTATCTAGAGATGAAGTTGAAGAGGAAATAAAGCAGATTAAACTGAAAGCTGATTCAGTCAGGTATTATTAATATTGTTGTTGTTTTCGTTGTCGTGTCGTTGTCGTTGTTGTTGTTTTTGTCGTTGTCGTTGTCGTTGTCGTTGTCGTTGTCGTTGTCGTTGTCGTTGTCGTTGTCGTTGTCATTGTCGTTGTCAGTCGTAAACGTTGTCGTTTTCGTTTTCGTTGTCGTTATCGTTATCGTTGGGCAAGACTTGAAACTCAAACACTCATTTAGGAACCTTTACCAATCCCTGCAAAATGTGATTTGATTTGATTTGCATTGGTCTGATCTGATCTTATCTGATCTGATCTGATCTGATCTGATCTGACCTGACCTGATCTGATCTGATCTGAGCTGATCTGATCTGATCTGAGCTGATCTGAGCTGAGCTGAGCTGATCTGAATTTAAATTAAACCCACAAAAATACTAAAATAAATATCAAAACAAATTAATATTTTAGATCTGTGATGTCAGATCTGAAGACGCATCTTTACGCCAAGTTTGGTGACGCAATCAACCTGGAAGCTGACGATTAATCAATCAATCAATCCACCTTTTACATCGTATTTGATGAATTATTTAACTGATAATTGACGTCACAAGTTCTCAAATAAAGCAACACACTTTATTTGTCTCAGATTCTCTAATTACAATTTTATGCTTTTTATGTTTGTATGATTGCACTCACAATGGGACCCAGAATTCTGTGGGATAAGAAGACGACATTTGATCAATATTATATGTAGCAGTAGCTTGAACATCAACTGAACTGGTGAAATGAGACTTATGTTTATTGGACTGTTCTAAATCATGTCTTGAGTCAAACTGTTCTTTTCCTTTTCCTCAGTATACTGGATCCCATTGGAAAGGGATTAATGCTAATTTCTTATTTTTATATTAACCCTTTGTCGGATTCAGTATGAATTAGATATCCATGTTTATGATTTGAAAACTGATTATTTTTAATTGTGGTTTCTCTATAATTCATGTAGGAATTGTCTGAATGAAACACGGTTAAACCTAGGGAACCGACAATATCATCCATATTTTCTATCAGATTAAGGTTTTAAGTTTCAAGGGTTTTGTTGAAATCGGGCATTGCAATCTTTACATGGTCACTGTTGCTTTAAAGCATGAATACATTTCGCACAGTCGTCTCTGAACTTTCATAATTTGTGGATAACTTTAATTGCTAAACAAATGTGATGTGATTAACTTTTGAGAATACAATTGAAAAACCTGTTCATAAATTTGATTCAGTCTAAGAATTTGACACAAAAAAAACAGTTATACATTATCAAAATGTTCTATAGGCGAAAAATAAACTCTAAAGTTATAAAGGCAAAATGTTATACAGGCAAATGTGTACTAGGCCTATGTGTACTTGGCGAATGAGCACTAGGCGAATGAGCACTAGGCAAATGTGTACTAGGCCTATGTGTACTAGGCGAATGTGTACTAGGCGAATGAGCACTAGGCAAATGTGTACTAAGCGAATGTGTACTAGGCAAATGTTTACTAAGCGAATGTGTACTAGGCAAATGTGTACTGACCCGTATTTATGGTTAAATGAGTTAACATGGTTAGTATAGTCTCCAGGAATTTTAGTGAAACAAATTCGTATTTTAGCGTGACATTTGATAATCACGAAACCTCTATATGTCCAGTTAAAGATACTGTAAGCGTAATTTCAACTTTCAAATAGGGTTTCCATGCGCAATAATAGCGCAAACCCTTCTCTATAGCTGGCTGACATACCTGTACAAATTTAGAATTCATTTTGTTGTTTGCCACAACAAGTAATAGTATTGAAGGACAAAACACCGTGTCCCAGTGTCTTTGTTGTTCTGGATATCAGAAGCATAATACGCATATTACGCTTAAGCTTACTGCATGTGTACTTTGTACTGTGTAGCTATATCTGTGCATTTTCTCAAAAGCTATTTTTTGATAATAAACTTTAAAATGTATTTGTCATTAGTATAAAAGACAATTTTTTAACATAATTTGATCAAACTTTCCTGAAATTGAAAAAACGCTATTGCGCATGGAAGCCATGCCATGCCATCACGTTGGAATTCTATAACAATGTTGCGCATTTCTTACTTCCCCATTATTGATCAGATCATGTTGTAAATCCGGGTCGGGATCATCGTCATTTTTGTCGTGGAGGGTCATTTGAAATCATGCTAACAGTCCCTTTAAAATTGACAAAAATAATCATAAATTGATTTAAAAATCTCAAATATAGATCATTGTATAATATAAACATTGTTAAATGTACTTAGATATAATTTACTTGACGCACTCTACAAATTTAAAGTTTTGTTAAATTTTGTTACAGTAAATTATTTAAACCATTGATAACTGTTCCTATTGTCCAGTTCAGATATTTTATACTTTTCACTTACAGTTTTCAATTGGGGCGAAGTATGAGAGAATGCTGAATCCATTCATTGAGAACAAATTCAAGTTATTCAAATATTTCACATCAAACTCATTCATCAATCCATTCATTCATTACGTCTTCATCCTTTACATTCATCCATTCATTCATTTATTACTTCATGATCCTTTACATTCATCATTTCTTTCATTCATTACTTCATGATCCTTTACATTCATCAATTTTTTCATTCATTACTTCATGATCCTTTACATTCATCAATTCTTTCATTTATTACTTCTTTGATTGACGCTTTCTGAAAATTGTTAAAGTTCAATTGCGATTTCTCCACAAAAGTGATTTCACAATACTATGCAGCTAAAACAAGGAAGAAAATTGACAGAATTTATCTCTTCCAACATAGAAAAACGACAATATCTTCCTAGTTATTACTCAGATCAAGGTTTAACGGGTACTCATGTAAATCGGGCTCGTAACTTTCTAAAGAAGGGGCCGTACAATAATTGTTTAAATATTAAAATTAGCAAATTCAAACTCAGAATAATCCTGATGCCATATAATTCTTTGATGAAATAAAAACGTTTTATAAATAATATATTTGTTTATCAATCCTATTTATTGATTTAATTCATTCATCCTTTCAATCATTCAGTTATTTATTCATCATTTCCTTTATTCCTTCTTTCATTCATTCATTCATTCATCCTTTCATTCATTCATTCATTCATTCATTCATTCATTCTTCCTTTTATTCCTTTATTTATTCATTATCTTTTCATTTATTCATTCATTAATTTATTTTCTGTTGATTTTTCATTCTTTACACTTTTTTATTTAATTATAAGTTTCTTTATTTGCAATCCCTTCTTCCCTGATTCCCCCTATCATTACTTCATGATCCTTTACTTTCATCAATTCATTCATTCATTAATTCACGATCCTTTACATTCATCAATTCTTTCATACATTACTTCATGATCCTTTACATTCATCAATTCTTTCATTCATTACTTCATGATCCTTTACATTCATCAATTCTTTCATTCATTACTTCACGATCCTTTACATTCATCAATTTTTTTATTCATTACTTCATGATCCTATGCATTCATCAATTCTTTCATTCCTTACTTCATGATTCTTTACATTCATCAATTCTTTCATTTATTTCTTCATGATCCTTTACATTCTTCAATTCTTTCATTCATTTCTTCATGATCCTTTACATTCATCAATTCTTTCATTCATTACTTTATGATCCTTTACAATCATCAATTCTTTCATTCATTACTTCATGATCCTTTACTTTCATCAATTCATTCATTCATTACTACATGATCCGTTACATTCATCAATTCTTTCTTTCATTCATTACTTCTTTGATTGACGCTTTCTGTATAATATATCAATACCTTCCTAGCTATTATGCAGATAAAGGTTTTATGGGTACTGTTGTAAATCGGGCTCATAACTTTTTAATTGTTAAGAGATTTAAAAATTAAAATCATCAAATTCAAACTCAGAAAAATCTTGATGCCATATAATTCTTTACTGGAATAAAAACGTTTTATAAATAATATATTTGTTTATCAATCCTATTTATTGATTTAATTCTTTCATCCTTTCAATCATTCAGTTATTTATTCATCCTTTCCTTTATTTCTTCTTTCATTTATCCATCCATTTATTCATTCATTCATTCATTCATCCTTATATTCCTTTATTCATTCATTATCTTTTCATTTATTCATTCATTAATTCATTTATCTGTTGATTTTTCATTTTTTACAGTTTTTTATTTAATTATAAGTTTCTTTATTTGTAATCCCTTCTTCCCTGATTCCCCCTCATTCTAACTTCTGATTCCCNATTTAATAAGGATTCTTTTCGTAAAAGAAAAAATGAATTTTCTCTCGTTAAGGGACTGGACACGCAATTTTTAGTGACCCCATAATAAAAGATTTGCACGCCCGACACACAGCATTTTATTTTTAATCTTAATCTGAGCAGCAACAAGAAGAATAGCTTTTTTTCTGATTGCTTCTCATTTCTAATTGATGTTTCTGTATAAGACAGTAGAAAGTAGATATCTGAATATAACACTTTTAAAAAAATATATTTTGATCAGATAAAGGTTTTAAAATTACCGTGTTGAATCGGGCATGAAAAGCTTTGAATGTATATATATATATTTTCTAGAAAAACAGGAAAGCCTGGCCTCTTCAAGGTCTGAAAACTTGCAACTCGGCAATTGCAAAAAAAAATTACTTTTATTTTTCCAAAATTAGTTGAACATGTTGAAAGATCAACGAGGTTATGTGTAAGATTTGGAAGATGTGGAAGATGTGGAAGATGAGGAAGATGTGGAAGATGTGGAAGATGTGGAAGATGGGGAAGATGTGGTAGATGTGGAAGATGATGAAGATGTGGAAGATGAAGAAGGTGTGGAAGATGAGGAAGATGAGGAAGATGTGGAAGATGTGGAAAATGTGGAAAATGTGGAAGATGTGGAAGAAGAAAAGGTAGATCAAGAAAAACAGAAATGTCAAAGTATTTGCATCTACTATCATCTGATTTTTTTTAGAAACTTGTTAAAATTTAAATTTAAAAAATGATTATGTTAAAAAATACAGATATATACATGTTTTTTTTGGTGCGGGGGGGGAGGGGGGTCACTCCAAAAAAACGTGGACAGTCCCTCTAGTATCTCTAATTCCCCTGGTTTAAACATCTCTCTCTGCAGTTCTCTATTTCATTCCTCACAGAGAAGGTATTTATTAGAAGAGAATTTTTTTAAGTGACTAGTTTATCTTTGTTAACATGTTTCTCCTTTGGGTGTTCCGAGCAAATAAAACATATCCATGTTTTATTCTATCTGAAAGTTAATAATTTCAAATTGTGTTTTTTTCACAGTAGTGAATTGTGGAAATTTAAAGAATTGAACACTTTTATATACAAATACGACGATATCTTTCGGATTGAGGCACAGATAAAGATTTACAGGCGTTGGAAAATATCCTGTACAGTCCCTTTAATACCTCTAATATCCTGTACAGTCCCTTTAATACCTCTAATATCCTGTACAGTCCCTTTAATACCTCTAATATCCTGTACAGTCCCTTTAATACCTCTAATATCCTGCACAGTCCCTTTAATACCTCTAATTGCCCAGTTTCTCTCTTCTCTTTTTATTCCCATACAGAGAAGGTGTTTATTAGAAAAGAGATTACTTTAAAATATTTTAAGTGGTGTATATTCACAGCAGCACCGTGTATACCTTTATCTAATACTTAAAGATATCCATGTTTTTTATCTAAAGATGGATTATTTTGGTTTCTTTATTATGTTATACGTAGTGAATATATACAGCAGAAAATATTTATTTTTGCAGAATTTTAAAGTTAGAAAAAGGAAGAAATATTTTTCTATTTTTTTGCAGTTTTTGTAGTTTTTAATAATCATTGTATTATTTCACGTTTGGATACCTCCTGAGATCTGAGATGTTTACATTATATCAAAATTGTATGCCCCATGAGTTTGCTGTCATTGCACTTTAAATAAATAGCTAAAGTTCCCGGCGTTGCCCGTGGAATTAAAATGAAAATTTAAAAAATACATTTAATTTTTTTAGTCTATTGAGACCCCAACCAAGGGTTCTCAACTTGTATATACAGGGTGTCCCAAAAAAACATGGGAATTCAGTGACGAATTCTATATCGTCTTTTTGATTAATTATTTGATTTAGTATAGTTATACCAACTGAGAAAGCTGTAATCTGTAAGAGTTTCGTCTGCTATGTTCACAATTTGTTTGTTTATGTTTTGACTGCTTAGTAAAACAAGAAAATTGCAGTATACAAACAGAGTAAACTTGTCCGTCTTCACTGTTCATCTTGCGGAGACATTATAGACATATCTTAACAGTCTTTTACCCTTTTCATAAAATAAACTCTTGCAGACATAATAATATTATGGCTTTTGAAATTAGGTATTACAATGCTAATTCATAACAAAGACGATATCCAATTCGCCACTGAATTCCCTTGTTTTTTGGGACACCCTGTAGTATCGTACAGTTCATTGCTCAATCTTGGCTTTTCACTACTGAGTTCTTTTCAAGCCTATACTATGCTACCCCCGGGATATCCCTGGGTTCCCTAAAAAAAATTCAGCCCGTTCGATCCAGCCTTTTTGCCGGCTATAGGAAACATATATACAAATGTCTTGTTTTATTATATAGATATTTATTCGGACATACGATTATACCAACAACTCTAAAGGAAAACGATTTGACAAATTGTTTTGGTAAATACCTTTTATTAAAAAAACTAGCTCAAAGCAATAAAAGTCAACTTAAAGAAAATAAAGTGGTTTTAATAATGGTTTTAATTGCAAATTAATAAATAAATGTTGTTATTTTTTGTTTTAAGGACTGTCGTTGAAATTTCAATCTAACCTTTCATTCACAACGATACTCTTCAAACCATTTTTTTTCTAAAAGTTGTTAGTTCATCGTCGTAAGGCTAAAAATTCACCACCAGTTTTATGAATGTAATGTATACAAAAAAATGTAACTTTCCTTTTCCTTTACTTTTCATTTTTTTAGAATTGGGGGGAAATATTCCCACAACCTCTATTATGGAGGTTTTTAAATATTCTCTCCTGAAGCACTTATTTTTGTATGTTTTTGTTATATTTTATAAATGAAAATTTATTTTCGTATTTTAAATTATGTTACAAAATATGTTTTAAAAGAATTAGTTAAACCCTTATTTTTGGTTTAAGGATGAGTGAGGGTACATCTCCCTCCCTTCCTTCTCTGGAATTTGGTAAGTTTTTCAGACATTTCGAACATTTCGTTCAAAATTTCGAACATTGTTTTCAAAATGTCGTATAGTTTTTTATTAACTTTAAAAAAAATATTTTTCTGAAATTTAGAACATAATGCAAGGCATAATACCAAACTTTGTGAGGTTTTAAAAATATCTGTTTAATCTTAAAATGCTAGGATTATTATTAGGAGAGTGTTCATTCCTGAAAGATTTTACATTACATTAATTTTCTAAAAACCTAATCAAGAAAATGAAAAATTTTACTATATCATATTTTTAAAGCCAAACTTTGCATATAAAAATATTTTATTAGATAAGAACATTTGGCATATATCCAGTAGTCTTGCGTGTCTTGGAACACTTCTCAACATATTTATTGTAAGTATTTATTTATCAATTCCATAACAAATATGACAATAAGAATAAAACTGATCAGTTTGTTCTGAAAAAATCTTACAGTGCTTACAATAGAAAGTCTTAAAGTTTGTTATTTGTTAAGTCAGAAAGTATACTAATACAAAGATTACAAGAATTAACAAATATAAAGAAAAATAAAATTATATTTCTCAATCTCTCTAAAATAAACGTAGTTTTAATCTTAAGTGTGAATTTTAAAATTAAACAAACTACATACATGTGTGGGCGACAATATTGGTAAGATGTAATTTTGGTTCAATATAATCCTCCATTACATAGAGCTAAAGAATGTTACGATACAATTTCATTTTTCACTATAGACCTTGTTGGTGCCAAGGAGGATTGAATAGAAGGAGGGGGCGATAGGGTTTCCGCACACTTTGCTGTGACGTTTTTGGACTGCTGAAGAACTAGTTTTTGCCTAACAACAATAATAAAGATTGTGAACAATAACACAAATGATAAACAGACATCTGGCGCATCTCTGGCGTTAGATGAAGATTCACCGTATACTAACTCATGTTTGTTTACATTAGATCGGCTGCCTTTGTTATTGTTGTTCCGAAAAACTAGTTCTTCAGCAGTCCAAAAACGTCACAGCAAAGTGTAGGGAAACCCTATCGCCCCCTCCTTCTATTCAATTCTCCTTGGTTGGTGCAAGAGAAGGTGCAAGATGAGGTTAAAAGCATTCGTCCCTATAGACCATGTGTGTACAATAGGAAGGTACGGTACAGTTTCATTCGTCCCTTTAAACTGTGTGTGTACAATAGGAAGGTACGGTACAGTTTTACTCTTTCCTATAGACCATGTGTGCACAATAGGAAGGTATGGTACAGTTTTATTCATCCCTATAGACTGTGTGTGTACAATAGGAAGGTACGGTACAGTTTCATTTGTTGTTGATTGTGTGTGTACAATAGAAAGGTATAGTACAGTTTTATTCGTCCCTATAGACCGTGTGTGTACAATAGGAAAGTACGGTAAAGTTTTATTCTTCCCTATAGACAATGTGTGCACAATAGGAAGGTACGGTACAGTTTCATTCGTCTGCACAGTTTTATTTGTCCCTATAGACTGTGTTGGTGCAAGAGGAAGGTATAGCACAGTTTTATCTGCCTTGCCGGTCTGATCCGGTACAGTTTCATCCGTCAGAGGCCATGCCGGCACAAGATGAAGATGGCCTGTATAGTTTCATCCGTCAGAGGCCATGCTGGCACAAGAGGAAGATGGCTGGTACAGTTTCATCTGTCAGAGGCCATGCTGGCACAAGATGAAGATGGCCGGTACAGTTTCATCAGTCAGAGGCCATGCTGGCACAAGAGGAAGATGGCCGGTACAGTTTCATCTGTCAGAGGCCATGATGGCACAAGAGGAAGATGGCCGGTACAGTTTCATCCGTCTGAGGCCATGCTATCACATGAGGAAGATGGCCGGTACAGTTTCATCCATCAGAGGCCATGCTGGCACAATAGGAAGATGGCTGGTACAGTTTCATCTGTCTAAGGCCATGCTGGCACAAGAGGAAGATGACTGGTACAGTTTCATCTGTCAAAGACCATGCACAAGAAGGAAGATGGTCGGTACAGTTTCATCCATCATGCATGGCAGAGGCCATCCTGGTACAAGATAAGAGATACATTACAACTTCAAATGACTTTGAGTTTTAAATGGATTTAGTTCAACCCTAGATAAATTATTCTTGTATATCTATGATTTCAACAGAAAGTGACAATTGATATTTTATAATTGAAATAGATGATTTTCACATATAAATTTGAATATTCAAGTTTTCAGAACTGTGTATCATATTATTTCGATGAATTATCGTCAATAGAGACAACTTTTTCAGAGCGCAATGACATTTTTTTTTCATAGATTTTTGACAGACCAAAAGACTTTAACTCAACATAAGGATCCAATTGGAAACCTTAACCCACATAAACTATGGTTTTCTTATTTGCAGTACTGGTCTGATGTTTAGTCCGTCTTGCATAGGAGTCCCGCCACTCCTGTATGCTGAGTCGATTAGCGCCTGATCCAATCAGGGTTCAGTCATGTGTTTGTGGCCTATTCTGAACCAATAGAAATAGCCCTTATATTTAGTTGTACGGATTCTATACTGAACGCAGCAGTCTCAATACATCAGTTAATATATTCATATGTCTTGAAGGATTTCACAGGTTAGTCCATTTTGAAAAAAGATGTATTGAAATAGTTTTTATTTCAATTTTCAAAATTCCTCATATTCATGATTGCAGTAAACTTAATTCTCTCTTTGCATTACCTTTAAATAATTAATCAAGGAAAAAGACTTAATTTAACCTTGGAATTCTCAGATTTAAAAGTTTTATGTCTTCTTAACAGTCTTGTCCTTTGAATGTGGGTAACACTGTTATCCAAGCTGTAATTAAATTATACAAAAATTTATCACAAAAGAATAGTTTAGTTTTACATAATTGTTAATTGTATTTTAAGTTCTCGAAAATACACTAGCGGATGTTTGCAGAAACAAACAAATTTGAAATTGTCAAAGTATACACTTTCTAAATTTTAAGAACGACGATCTTTTTCCTGTTTATGTGAGAGAAAGATTCGGCAATAAAGTTCTAATTTGACTTTTATTTCTTGTAATGTTTTCTAACTCAAACGTCTTTTATCTATCTATCTATCTACCTATCTATCTATCTATCTATGTTCTGTTTTTTAATAAAAATGCATGTTAAATATGGAAAAAACGTCTTGTTTGAACAAAACTAAATCTGTTAGGGCAAATTATCAACAATATGTGACTCAAACCAAATCCAAAGAAAGCCATAAAGACTTAGTTGCACCCCTGGAGCCTCATACTACATTTCACGCAAATCTGCCCTTCTAGTAAAAGTAAATTCAACCTATATGAAGCATAAAGTCTGATCACGTCAACCTTGTTGCACCGGCTTGTACAGCTAGGTACAGTACAAACTGGGACCGGTAAAATTGACCCGGCTCGGAAATTCAAATGTACTACAGCTGCCCGTGATTCGGCTGGCTCAACTTGTGCATTAAGCACATACGATTAAGCACAAAATGTCTTTGAACTTTTATTTGCGGACCTTATTTACTTTGTTTAAATTTCCCGAGTCTTACAACTTTAGTCTAGGTTTTCTCGGATATATTTCTTCAGTACTTTGATTCCTGAGACCTTATTTCCAGTGACATGTAGTCCTAGAATTTAAGGAATTTGGAACTTTTTTACCAGGTTTTTTTTCCCTGAAACTTTACTTGTCTTAGATTGGTGTACACTGGAGTTATAATACCTATTCGGAACTACAGCTTACTAGTTGGACCTCTACTACTCCAGGGAACAGGGGTTCATAAATGGGATTTCCCCCTTTTTGTTACTTTTTACCAAAAATTCATTTTTTTACCAATTCAGCAATATGAAGCTTTAAACATTTCTAACACTCTGGGTACGTGGATCTAACAGTTCAGAACTTTGACTTTTGATCACAATGAAACTTGTTCGCCTTTTCTATCTGCATATGCGGCGTTGTAAATGAAAAGACAACTCATTAATTGTTGAATTATTGACCATTACGGGATTGAATTTAAATTTTTTTAAAAAATATACTCCTGGCAGGGAACTCTGGATCATGAAACTTCATGTCATATTCTGCTCATCTCAGTTCTCTATGTAAATGTAAGCTCGTAAAAGAGGTGACCCACAGGGTTACCCACGAGGGATGAAACTTTTAAAGACGACTGTACGGAATTTGTTTTTACTCTTATTTTTTATAATAATATACTGCACTGCAGCTGTAAACCCGTTAATTTCATTAAAAAATCATAATCAGAAAGACCCGGAATTAATTGACAGTTAATCCGGCTACGTTACTCTGGCAAATCAAATGCTCAAAAAAGACAGACCATATTTTGGAAATGGTAGGATAGGGATATTTTGTGATTATCGTTTCATTCATCATGATTGTAAAGTTAGATTGTAAAGTTGTCTGATGAGAATTGTAAATAATTTTTTTTTATGTAAACCACAGTTAAACCTTCAGATCGTCATATTAAAAGAGTTTCAGGTCTTTATTTTAGTTTTATCCTTTGCTGGGAATCCGGTATTTACAAATTAGAAAAGAATACAAATTAATTTTAATTTATTGTACCGAGGGGAGATGTCCAAAAGTGTCTAATTTAAAATTTTTTATCTAAAAATATAAACTTGTCCAAAGACTTTCTATAAACAGATGTGGCATCGGAAAATTTACGCAAATTCTACGCATTTTGGTTGGTTTAATAAAGATTGTAAACAAATATCGCCTTCTCTAATGAATAAAGGCATCTTTTGCTCGTGTGGAAGTTTCATTCCATTTAATAATTTATACTTTTTATCTCAAATCCCAACAAATCAATTGACAAGGTAATGGGTTACGTATGCATACATTTATGCAAATACAGATCGTACACAATAGTCAAATAAATTACTATTACATCTTTATATATAGCAAGGTTGTAATGTCAGTTCTCTCTGGGCGGAATTTGTGAACAAGAATAGATGCATCAGTGTTCATCTCGTATCGGAAGAGGTCAAAAGCATTACATTTTGATAATTTTGATAATTCACATAATAGTTTACTATGACCAGAATATTTCATTGATTTTCTACATGAAAAAGATGGATCGCATGTCAGGCTTCGACATCCGTCTTGTGTTTACATTACCGCCCAGAGACAGTACAATGCAGTACAAAAGATTTTGACACCTCTGAAATAACTTTCCTTGCATTAATACCTTGATATATAGATTCTTATCCAATTGTAAACGTAATTTAAAGTGACCCAGGACCCTCTATGCAATGATGGCAATCCCCTATTCACAGCCTAAAGCGTTTTTCGATCAAGTATGTATTATAATTTCATTTTTTTGCTTTTCAAAACTATTTATTATGATTTATTGTTTTTCTGCAAAAGTGACTTGTGCACATGGATCTTGCCAGGCTAGATTTGTTGCATTAAACGTGCTGGGTTGACTCTACACTGGGTAGCAAAACTGGACAGTACGGCTGAATGTATATACAGTACGTGTTGTACCGTCACGAATCATGAAATTATTAGACTGTGGTGTGAGCTTTTCTTGCTTATAAGAAAGACTGGATAAATTCACAGAAATTGAACACTTTTCAGAAAAACAACTTCAGTTTATCAAATTTTATATCACACCGAGGTTTAAAGGGTATTGCCATAGATAAATAAATAAACATAGATAGGCTGATAGCTTATGTACGCAAAATCACCAAGAATTGTACAGTCCGCGAACTCATACTTCAATGACATAAGAACAGCCAACGTTCACAACCGACCTAGTTAATCTATATAATAGGAATATCTTTAAAACATCTCTGTACATTTATATCTTTCAAGAACAAAAAATGTCGTCTTATGTGCAATCTATCTTTATCTATGGGTATTGCTATCTTTGCATGGAAGGTCATTGGAAATTATGCTTACAGTCCCTTTAGCGTATTAGTATTGCTCACTGCTCAGGAAGCAGTTTATCAAATCAATAACAAACATTGTATAGTAGCAGTTATGTATTCACAATTTCCTCGAAAAATTAAAGGGGTGTAAATTTGATACCTATTTTTCATTACAGAGCATTATAATTAGTGCCAATCTAATGCTATAGTAAAAAGGTATCAACCTACACCCCTTTTCATCTTAACCGAGCTCTCCCAGTAATAATTCAAAATATTTTAAAATTTTAATTTATCAAAAATATATTTTTAGTTGGGTAACCTGATCTACAACTGTATGGCAGCAGCAACAAGATGTTTACTCATTAGGTAATTAAAGGGACTGTCATTGTAATTTTAAGTGAGCATTTAGCTAAAAAGGGGCATTCCAGATTCACTTGTCTGTTAAACTAAAACTTGAGCTAATATTGCCCTCAACTTTAATTTAAGTTTTTCTGAAATAAATTTCTAAGACTGAGATGATTGTCACAATTAATGATCATCCTAATGGTACTTTAGTTTTATTTAATATAGGAGAATGTTTTGGATGGATTTGATAAAAATTTAAAAATTTTTTTCTGGGAAATCAAATATTTTTACATATTTATTTCATCTAATTTTGAAATAAATTTTTTTTTGTAACATCGTGGCAGTTGCCATGCTGTTAGATTAGAACTAGGTTGAGATGCTCCTGATTTCCTATTTTTCTGAACTCTGTTTTGTTTACACATGTTAGTGTATGAGTTTTTTTGTTCTTTAACTGACTCATTACTGAGTCAGTTAAAGAATTTATTGCTTTAACGAGGAATGCTGACACAGTTGTTCAGGCTGCTTTTAGCATAATATTTCCAGACTGGGACATTTTTCAGGTTTTGAGGCCTCTCCAAGTAGTTCATGTGACATTGAGTTGTGGAGCAAAAGTAAAGAGATAAGGAAGTTTGGAGGAGGAAGGGTATGAAGGAATTCAGTAGAAGATCCCTTTTTTCCTTTGCTTTAAAGTCTTTCCATCTTGTGCAGAATTAAGGAAACCCAGGATAATAGAGGAGTTAAA